CAGTCACTCTTCCCACGGGCGTAAGGTTGCCTCTCTCTGTCTTTTCTATAAATACTTTCAGGGTAATTATGCGGATGAGCTCATCCCTATGGTACCTGGGTTTTTTGAATTTAATTGTATAAATGAGACTGGCGTCGAGATCTTATCAATTTACAGTTGAGCTGGCTCGATGTAGCCGTAAGTTCTATGCTAACAGTTTCTTCTCTCGCACATCTCGCATGTGGAACTCCCTTCCGACTCCGTGCTTTCCAGCCAACTTTAATCTGCAAAAATTGAAATGCAATGTCAATCGCTATCTACTATATTCCTGATTATTTTTCTTCTTCCAGATAATTATTAATGTGTCTATTCCTAACTTTTCTGTAATCCTTTTTACTTAGTGGCTTCACTGCCTTGTATGCAGTGATACCGATTAAAACAACAACACCACACACACACACACACACACATATATATATATATATATATATATACATATATATATATAGATTAAAAGAAGAGAGAAACCGCAAACCTTTAATATACATAGAAACCTCTCGTTGGAACTAATATAATCTATTCCTTTACATATATATATATATATATATATATATATATATATATATATATATATATATATATATATATATTGTTCGTCCATGCTGAGAATATTGCTGCCAAATATCCTGTTATTTATCTAGAACTGTTTCGTAAAATGTAAAGAAGAATCAGTAATATTGGTCTTTTCTATAAATACTTTCATGGTAATTGTGCAGATGGTATCTAAGCTTTGTGAATTTAAGCGCTGCACTAGTCTGGCGTCGAGATCTCATCAATTTACAGTTGAGCTGACCCGATGCAGCCGTAAATTCTATGCTAACAGTTTCCTCTCTCACACTATTCTCTCCGGCTCTATGCTTTTTCTGCCAACTTTCATCTACAAAAATTTAAATGCTATGTCAATCGATATCTACTCTCCCTCTGCATGTCCTTTCCTCTTCCCGTTCATTATTGATCTTCCTGTTCGTATTTCTTCCACGCTCAATAACCTTTTGTGTCTTATTAGCTTTACTGGATTCCATGAGGGTGATGCCAAAAAATGGTTGATCTTCATGACAGTGCGCGGCCATCGACAAAATGAATAACACAGGAAAACATTAGAAACTTGGTATGTCTATTCTATATCACTGGCCATATATATATATATATATATATATATATATATATATATATATATATATATAATTACTATATTACTAATATAGTAATTATATGATCAGATAGGTGTAATGTAAGATATATATATATATATATATATATGTGTGTGTGTGTGTGTGTGTGTGTGTGTGTGTGTGTGTGTGTGTGTGTGTGTGTGTGTGTGTGAAAAGTGTGTGTATATAAATATAAATAAATATATATATGTATAATTATTTATATATTATACACTTTATCAGTAATACACTTTAATGCACCTGATAATTAAGTTGACGTCAAAAAACGAAATCCTAAAATCTTCTATTTGATATTCAAAATTTGTCCCATCACTTATATTCCTTCAATACGGAAGGAAAGCAAACACATTGAGAGGATTTTGTTTTCACAGTTGGAAAGAAACTCAACTATATATATATATATATATATATATATATATATATATATATATATATATATATATATAGGGCCACCCAAAGGCGGACAGGTCTGACACACACGCCGGCTAACAAGGGCTCTGGTGAAAATCCAAGGGCGTCTGCATCGGTAACCGGCGGCTTCTGGTCGTTCCTGTCTCTGCGTCTGTGGGAACTCCGCGGCAAGCAAGAACGTTATCCGAGTAGGCCTGGGTACCCTACTTCTGTAATTTATCCCAAGAATCTTCTTCTCATAACAGGAAGAAGCCGGCTCAATCCACCCAGGGTGAATGCCGCATCAGTACAGTACAGTATATTTAGGCAGCAATCCTTCCTTTATGCATGTTTCATTAAAAACGACAGACAAGGTACTACGGTTGAGCTTTTTATTTAATTTAATGTTCTGACAAGAGCTTTCTTTTCTGGACAAAGGGTGTGTAAGAACTGTCCGAATGTTTTATATTTCCGAGCGCTTTCGGCTATACCTTTAGTCATTATCAAGGATGATTCGATTATCAGCTTAGTAGAGTGTGTGTGTTCTGTGTATATTCAGTGTGTGGTAGTGATGTTTTTAGTTTCCGAATACGGTTAGCACATTGTGGCTTTGTTCATAATTAATATTGTTAAGAGTTGGCTTTTCTTTTTTTATTATTAGAGCTTCCATTATTTTAGTCTTTTTTTTTGCAAGTGGATGCAGTTAATATATTTGTTTTTCTACTAGTATGTTCCTAATAGTGTCAGGTAAATCTGAGTGTGTGTTTAAATGTGTTCTGATGGAACTGTGATCAGATAGGTGTAATGTAATATATATATATATATATATATATATATATATATATATATATATATATATATATGTGTGTGTGTGTGTGTGTGTGTGTATGTGTGTGTGTGAAAAGTGTGTGTATATAAATATAAATAAATATATATATGTATAATTATTTATATATTATATGCGCGGTACTTATTAGAAAGCGCTCAATATCAGAGAGAGAGCTAACAGATTTGGTTGGATAGATGTAAGTTTGTGACCCTGGGTTTCACGCTTTTGCGATCGTCAGACAAACTGATTATTTTTTTTAAATTTTGGGTTTATGTAGATTGCGTGTTGAAATTTGAAATTCAACATACAAATGCGTATGTACAGACACAACATCACCCGTATACATACATATGTCATATCCGAAACTGCCCACATATGTTTATATATGTATGAGTCCCGACGGACGACCAAGTCTGTATATGTGTCTGCGTACTCCATTAGGCGTATGAACATACATCGATGTTTTCGTTAGTACGATGACAAAACGACGAAGTTTCCCACCCACGTCTATAATAACACCAATACACGCAATCTACATAAACCTAAAATTTTAAAAAATTAATCAGTTTGTCTAACGATCGCTAAAGCGTGAAACCCAGGGTCACAAACTCACATCTATCCAACCAAATATATATATATAAATATATATATATATGACTTTGCGCCAACCGATTATTACACTGGTCAACAAGATTTTTGTTGCAAAGAAGCAAAACACGTTTTTAGATAACTTGTTGGTGCTGATTCCGAAAATGATCTTAGTTTCTCATTGTTAGCTACCGTTTAAGCTGTACTGAAATTGTTCATTTTTGGAAAAAAGATCAATTTAAGATCTTGTCTGATCGCAAAATTTAGTTAATAAAGGTCGGAGAAACCCATCAGTTTTCAGGTAGGCTGAGCAATTTATGTCAGCCACATGAAATAATATGTATATATATATTTTTTTTATGAGAAAAAAGGTTTTTGAGTGAAAAATTTGAAAATAGATGTACCGAAGTTTTTCAATTTATTGCCAAAATTCAAATTAACAGATAAACTTTATCAGTAATACACTTTAATGCACCTGATAATTAAGTTCACGTCAAAAAAACGAAATCCTAAAATCTTCTATTTGATATTCAAAAATTTGTCCCATCACTTATATTCCTTCAATACGGAAGGAAAGCAAACATATTGAGAGGATTTTGTTTTCGCAGTTGGAAAGAACCTGCAACTAAAACATTCCAATTGAATGCACCAATTCCATTGTATATGATGATGCTTTAGTATCAAAAGGGACTTAAATAACGTTGAACATGACAAAATAAAGAAAGATAAACTTTTTACCATAGTTCTTATGTTCACGAAGGTTTTATTTTTGCTGTTAGTTTATTAAATGATTTGATAAAAATACTTGATGGTCTTGGTATATTCAATCGTATTATTTTTAAACAGTTAGGGTCTGATTGTTATTGCAAAAATAGTATTTCTCAATAAGTAGACGAATATTTGTTGGTTTAAATAGGAATTGTGAGGTTTAGTTTTAGAAATATTGCCATCGGTTAATATCATATAGGCAGAAAACAAATGAAAAAGACATTTTTTTTTCCAAACATGAGGCATTTTCTGTACAGGAAAAAACGGTAGCTAACCAAGAAAAATTAATGTCATTTTCAGATTTAGCGTCCTCAAATTAGCTAAAAGAGGTGTTTGGTGTCTCGACACCATTTATTTTTCTTTTTTCTTTCTTTTTTTATGTTGACCAGTGTTATTACCTTTTTCGATCGCTGGAAAATAGTTCTCTGGTAAACGGAAGAAGATTTTTCACCTCAAAATGTCCGGAATTTTACTGAAACGAGATCCAAACAGCTGCATCGTAAATTGTAACAACGCATTGCAAATAATATTGCAATGTATAGTTGAATAAAATGTAACAGTATTTTGTTATAGTTTTTTTTTTATTAATAACAAAGTTGATCAACATAGACGGAAATTATTTATAGCACTAACTATCGTTTTGGGTACTTTCAAGTGTCAATTAAAATATATCTCCTCTTTGCCACTTAGCCAAAAGGAAAGGATGGGATGGCTATACGTCAAATATAATCTTTACAAATTATATATCTAGATAGTTACATTTCAAGAAGAAAGCGAATTGATGGTCATAGAGTTTTCTCGAAGGCGACCCTGTACTTCAGAACGCACCCAGCTATAGATAACTGACTGTAGACAACATCGCATCGGATCATTAAGAGATGACACGCGCTCGCCTACACGCCTTTAGGTTTACTTACAAGAGAACAGAGAGATAAAGAAAGAATATATATATATATATATATATATAGGTAGAATAAATAGAAAAATTGAAAGTGTCTAAAGGAGGAGGGGAAAATGCAAAAGGAAATGAGTCACGGACCAGTGATTAGTAGGTTAATGGATAAATGGAAACGGTGAAATGAAAAAGTGGAACGAGAGGCGAGAGCAAAATTGAGGAATGGTTTTTCGGAGGTGACAGAATATAAAGAAATTGAGAAAAAAAAAAAAAAAGTAAGCTGAAGTCGTCACAGAAAAAAGATGTGAGTTTATGTGACATGCCAAAGGAAGACGGGAACAAAACGAGAAGAACTCTCTCTCTCTCTCTCTCTCTCTCTCTCTATCTATCTATCTATCTATCTATCTCAGTCTGTTCAAATCTATCTCATCACACGGTTCAAATCTATCTCATCACAGTCTGTTCAAATCTATCACTTCACAATCTATCTATCTATCTATCTATCTATCTATCTATCTATCTATCTATCTATCTCAGTCTGTTCCTATCTATCTATCTATCTATCTATCTATCTATCTCAGTCTATTCATATGAAGTAACCGAAAATCCAATCCTGAACAGGAAACAAGGGATAAACCACTACTCCTGTTCAAAAGACCCGGTGTGAGGAGTGTGAACCGGACGTTTGGCGAACGTATCTACTCCTATTAATTAAAATGAGGATAATTCTTAACTGAAATAGCTTCCTCTTTACTACATTAGACACTCTAATTATGTTTACGACACAATTAACGCCTTCACCGGTTTTCAAAATGCAAAATTTGCAACGTATCTCTTGGCGGGATTTTGAATTGAATATTTGTTTGGCCAAAAATTTCGTTCGCATTATTAAGTAGAAAATTTACTTGATAAACCCCGCGAATTTTTTTGGTGGGGCAACCCAGTAAATATTTCCTGTGTAGAATAAATGTTTTATCAGATCATCCCTGACGAGATCCGCAAACACGCGTACACACTCCATCATATTCGTATGTTTTTTTTGTGTCTGAACGTTATTATTGAAACTATATTTCTACGTGTATGCCTACAAGGCTACTTTTCACCATGATGTGCTATTTCTATGAGTCGACTCTTCGACTTGAGGTAATGGTTAATGATTCCACTCTAGTTGGCTATAAATAGCGTGTTCGATCTTCCCTGAGGGCCCCTATAAATTATCATGCAATACATTATTTCTCTACTTTCTTTCTTTTTTCTTTTATTTTGTATTCTTTTTCTTCTTTCTCACTTTCATTCTTCCTTTTTTCTTTTTCTCCTTTTTTCGTTATACACTATTTTCTTTTTTTGATTGTTATTTATTTTCATTTTTCCTTCCTTCATTTTTTCCTTTCGTTACATTCCTTTCTTTCTTCTTTTATTGTTCTTTTTTATTATATTTTCTTTCTTTGTCTTTCATTCCGTCTCACTTTCTTTCTTTCTGCCAAATTTCTTTCTTTTTTCTCCCTTAATTTCTTTCTGCCTAATTTATTTTTATTTTTCCTTCCTTCATTTTTTCCTTTCATTACATTCCTTTCTTTCTTCTTTACATTTATTTTTCCTTCTTTTTTATTATCTTTTCTCTTTGTCTTTTCTTTTTCTTTCTCTTCCTTTCTTTCTTTCTTTCTTTCTTTCTTTCCTTTCTTTTTTTTCTTTCTTTCTTTCTTTCTTTCTTTCTTTCTTTCTTTCTTTCTTTTCTTTCTTTCTTTCTTTTTCTTTTCTTTTCGGTTTTTTCTTTCTTTCTTTCTTTCTTTCTTTCTTTCTTTCTTTCTTTTTTTTTTCATTTTTTTTCTTTCTGCCGATATTAAATGCCAAATAGCGTTATTACTTCAGTTATTTAACCTTTCTTTCTTTTTTTTTTTTTTCTTTCTTTCTTTCTTTCTTTCTTTTCTTTTTTTCTTTCTTTCTTTTTCTTTCCGTTTTTTCTTTTTTTTTTCTTTTTTCTTTTTTATTTTTCCTTTTCATTTTCTTTCTTTCTTTCTTTCTTTCTTTCTTTTTTTTTTCTTTCTTTTCTTTCTTTCTTTTTTTCTTTCTTTTTTCTTTCTTTCTTTCTTTCTTTCTTTCCTTTTCTTTTTTTCTTTCTTTTTTCTTTTTTCTTTTCTTTTTTCCTTCTTCCATTTCCTTTCTTTCCGATATTAAATTCCAAATAGCGTTCTTTACTTTCTTTATTTAACCTTTCTTTCTTTTCCTTCTTTTTCTTCCTTTCTTTCTTTCTTTCTTTCTTTCTTTCTTTCTTTTCTTTTTTTCTTTCTTTTTTTTTTTTCTTTCTTTCTTTCTTTCTTTCCTTTTCTTTTTTTCTTTCTTTCTTTTTCTTTCTTTCTTTCTTTCTTTCTTTCTTTCTTTCCGTTTCTTTCTTTCTTTCTTTCTTTTTCTTTCGGTTTTCTTTCTTTCTTTCTTTCTTTCTTTCTTTCTTTCTTTCTTTCTTTTGATTTTTCATTTATTTTTCCTTCTTCCATTTCCCTGAAGCCGATATTAAATGCCAAATAGCGTTATTACTTCAGTTATTTAACCTTTCTTTCTTTTTTTTTTTTTTTTTTCTTTCTTTCTTTCTTTCTTTCTTTCTTTCTTTCTTTTTTTCTTTCTTTCTTTCTTTCCTTTTCTTTCTTTCTTTCTTTCTTTCCATTTATTTTTTCCTTTTCTTTCGTTTTCTTTCTTTCTTTTTTCTTTCTTTTTCTTTCTTTCTTTCTTTCTTTCTTTCTTTCTTTCCGTTTCTTTTTTTCTTTCTTTCTTTTTTTTGATTTTCCATTTATTTTTTCTTTTTCTTCCATTTCCTGAAGCCGATATTAAATGCCAAATAGCGTTATTACTTCAGTTATTTAACCTTTATTTCTTTCTTTCTTTCTTTCTTTTTTTCTTTCTAATATATTTTCAGTTTTTTCATTGCATTTCACTCTCCTATTTTTCTTTTCTACTTTCTTTCTTTCTTTTTTTCTATTTTTAACCTTCGCTTTAATTTCTATTTGGGGGGGGGTATTTTCTTTTTTCCATTCTTCCTTCATTCCATCTGTCATTCATTTCTTGTAAGTATCATTCTCCTTGTATTATCTTTATCGTGTTCTTTCTGCTCTCCCCGCCATTCGCCATTCGCCTTCTTCCCTGAATTGCCTTCTCTGATTCTTCAGTGTTTCCCTCACCTATTTTCTCACTCCCGAATTCCTCACCTGCTTCCGGCCGTACCCATACCTTAAGGAGAACTTCCCCTTGGCCGCGCGAAGTACATCCGTTCCCTGTTAACCACAAACGCACTCGCTAGCGAAAACGCCTAAAGAGAAAGTCTATTTTCTTTATCTATACTAATCTATTCTATTCTGCCTACAAACACTATCACATATCCAATTGAATCTAATTTATCTAAACACAACATAAAATAAGTTATAGCTACTTCTAAAACAATAAAAGACTTAATTAATACAAAACAATACAATAAGCATAATTTAAAGGAGGAATTTACTCGATTACTGTGATGATTGCCACAAGTAATACATTGGAGAAACCTTAAGGAATTCAGATACGATTTAGTTAGTCACCGTAACTAAACTGACCACAGTTTCGATATAAAAATGTTACTATAATTGAAAGCGAAATTTACTGAGGCGAAAATGTATAGAAAGTACTTTAATCACTAGAACAAATACAGTAAATTTATCTCCAGGTTTTTACATTATTTCGCCGTTTTTGGCAGATCCGCTTTTATCAGGACAATGTAGGACAAAAGTGATAAAATGAAACAAACAAACAAAAAAACAAACCGAAATGAACTCACATGAAAATAAAAAACACAAAACATATTTAATCATTCTCAGCGCGTCGAGCGCATACGCAGTCACATTAACCTGTACGATGAAACGTGTCGCATGAACATATTTTCCACTTTGTCATATTTTCCCGTTACTGCTTTAAATGAATCGCTCTTCGTTAGAACTGAGCGCTATAGCGGCCGTATATAATGCGTTAAAAATGTCCTGTTCTCCGCCATTTGCCGATAGCCTAGGTGTAAGGGTCTCTGACTTATGTCACATCAGTCTCGATTCGATTCATGATTGAATGTCTAGCGGCCGTATATAATGCGTTAAAAATTCCCTGTTGTGTAAGGGTGTAAGGGTCTCTGACTTATGTCACATCAGTCGAGTTTCGATCCTTGATTGAATGTCTAGCCACAATGATGTTACAGCGAAACGATTTGTCTGTGGATATATATAATCGACTCTCACGTCGCGTTCGACGTATGAGGGTCAGGCCGATAAGTCCCCAGGAAACCGACATCCCGACACCGGCACATGAGATTTGTTTATAGTGGTGAAGGCCTTGTGCAGGACCAGCCACACATTTTGGAGGGACGAATACAGAAACCTGGTGCACCAAATGCATGCCACAAGGTTCCCAAACGACCCTCCACAGGTTTTGAATTCAGAGTTGTCCTTCTCCTAGACCAGTTGCCATCCAAGGCTATAGAACCCAGTCGGTCCTGCTATTTTACCCATAGCTAGAGGGTGATGAAGAGGATACATACCTTTCCCAAGGTTATTAGCACGTAAGTGAATGCAGTGGATTCGACTGGAATTCGAACTCGGCTCTGCGATTCCACAATCCAAGCCGCTAACCACTGCTCCACCGTGCCTCCACAGGTTTTGTATTCAGAGATTTCCTTTTCCTAGATTATAGAAACCTGTCTATCCTGATATTTACCTATACCTGGAGGATATATATATATATATATATATATATATATATATATATATATATATATATATATATATATATATATATATATATATATATATATATATATATATATATATATATATATATATATATATATATATATATATATATTAGTGGTAAACATACATATGCAAAATATATATACATAGAGATATATTTTTGAATAAAAAAATTCAAGTGGATAGAATCCAGGTAGAACTTATATTTATTTTTTATATGTTTATGTTTGATTTGTAACCTGTAGTCGATATTAATTTTGTCAAATTTTCTTAATTACACAGCGGCCCTATCAGGATACGCCATTCAGTTTTAATTTCCATCGCCCCATCTCTCTCCCCACCCCTTTTTCTTTTATTTTCCTCTCCCTTCCTCTTATTCTGATCTTTAACATTAGATCGTCTATATTGTGTGTGTATGTCACCACAAAATGTATCCTTTCCGGTTATATCTTTAATGTATTAGACATCCGACAACATTCACATTTCTCTCATTTAAACTGTCTTCAACTCACCTCTCTAAAAAGGTTTAATCCCCCACCTTCTCTCGTCTGTTACCCCTCTCTTTAGCTCTAACATTCGTCCCACACTCTCATACTTACACTCTCTCTAAATTCTATTTTTTATTTCCGGGGTTGTTTTTTCTGTTTTCTTTTTGAATTAGAAGGTCGATGAATTTGATCGTATTTACAGATTCCAATGAAATAAATTAAGACCATGGAATAGTAGTATTTAAGCCTTTTTATTATATATATATATATATATGTTAAGAAATGGACGAGGTCCGACAATTTATTTATTAAAGACATTTTTATTTATGTTTAACGTTGTTATTTTATAGATACAAGTATTTAAGCAAATGCTCTGTTTATGATAAACAGTATTAAAATATATATATTAAAAGTATAGGATGCAGGTTCGAATCCTGTCTATGAACGAATATTTTCTTGAAAATTTCTCGGACATTCAGGCCGGTAAATGTTATTTAATACTGTTTATATAAACAGAGCATTTGCTTAAATACTTGTATCTATAAAATAACAACATAAATAAAAATATATATATATATATATATATATATATATTAGGTTAGTGCAAAAATAATGACGTAACAATGTCGTTTTTTGGCGTTAAAAAACGTCAAAAACGACATTATTACGTCATTATTTTTGCACCAACCTAATATATATATATATATATATATATATATATATATATATATATATATATATATATATTCATTTCTATGAATATGAGTTTGAAACCCTGTGTTTCACGCTTTTGCGATTATCTGACGAACTGGTTTATTATTTTTTATAACAAGTCTGATGATTTCAAAAGCTTGAAATTCAGGTTACATACTCTTATTCACAAAAATGAATATGTTAGCTCTATCGTTGATATTGAGTACTTTTCCAATAAGTACTTACACACACACACACACACACACACATATATATATATATATATATATATATATATATATTTATATATATATGTATTTCATAAGACAAACTTTTTTAAACATTTAACCGCATCGAGGTGTTAATGTATATTTGGGCAACAACCTTTATTTTAAAAATCTTTCATTGAATATATCAGACAAGGATAATATTAATTTATTATTTAGTTTTTACATTTTTCCGTTCGGTGGGAGTGCAAAAATAGTCCATTTTTTCTGTCACTTCTTCAAGCATTTTCAATGGCGTTTGCTTTAAGTGTTCATAATTTCCCTTTGTAGCGGACCCGTCTGTGTTTGCCCGTTGTTGTTTTAGAAACCCGTGCTGTTTATTCCTGCTAGAAGGTCCACTAAACAAGACCACACACACATATATATGTATATATATATATATATATATATATATACGTTGTCAATTCATATATATATATATATATAAAAGAAAGAGGTTATGGAGGGGGAATATACGCACGCATATATACACGCATGCTGACAGAAAACACACAAAATGAAACAGATCCAAGAACACATAGGGGTCAGTAAAACATTAAAAGATAAAATGCCGATAAGTAATTCATCATTTCGCTTGGACCAACCTTAATTGTTTATGACTCTTCGCGTAGAACTCTTCATTTGGCAATTCAAGAAAGAAATTCGGATTACTAACACAGAAAATGTCTCATATCGAGAATATTTAACATTGAAAAACAAAAGAAAAAATTAATTATTTTTAATATGTGGAAATCTCTACTTTTACCTGAACACGTGTCGTACAATTATGTAAAACAAAGCATAATATTTTTTCTAAATATATCCACATTACAACCAAAAACGTTTGCGGCACCTCTCTTCTCTTCTTTTATATATATATATATATATATATATATATATATATATATATATATATATATATTGAAATATTTATAAAGATTAAATCTATCTTTATAAATCTTTATAAATATTTCAATAGGTAAACATTTTTTAGATGTATTTAAATTTTTTATTTATTTTTTTTAAACCACATATAAAATATTATTACAGTTAGATTTACGTTAAGAATATTCGAAGAGAGTGGCGTTCCATATCACGTGACGTCCGCAACTCGCGACAGACGCTACTTGTAAACAAACAGTAATTTAAATTTATTTGTAACAAACAGTTATTTCTGAAGAAAGATTGAGGTCAATCTGAAATATCAAATATATATATATATATATATATATATAGATAAATAAATACTTTCATGAAAAAACATTATTATTTTTTTAATTTGCAACTTTTTCTATATATACATATTAAGAAAGTATACGTGCCTTCTCATTATGCTATATATATATATATATATATATATACAAAGAAATATATGTATTAAACAACAAATTTACAAGTGCCAAAGACTTCAACGTTTGTGTTTGGGTGTGAACGTAAAGAGTTTGTATTATGGTGCATGTTCGTAAGTACGTACGTACGTGTGTGTGTGTGTGTGTGTGTATGCGTGTATAATGTTCAGGGCGTCTCCCACAAATGGGAAGACGCTTAACTTTTGCGAGAGCTTACGTTGTATATATGTTCGCTGAAAAGCTAAATAAAAATGAGAA